ATCCCCCCACCCCCCCAGTGATAAGCCACAGGGCTTCCTGTCAACCAGCAGCTAGGGTGGCTGCCTACTGCATATTTACTGAATGGCAACCCTGAAGAGCTTTTGGTAACTGAGGGCTATGGATCTTTGGGTGCCTGTAAATGTGACACTTCTGCACCTTTTGGTCTGACTTAAGGCCCAAATGTTTGCATCCTATGAGTCCTTTCCCTGCTAATCACTTGCAAAGAAAGGCAACAGTGGGTTTTTTGTTTGTTTTTTTACAGAAGGGTATACTTGTCACCCAGAGAACAGGGAGACCTTGTATTTTAAATGTTTATAAACTATGAGAATTGAGCTTCAGAGCTCGAGGAAGAGCTCTGTGTGTGTGTGTGTGTGTGTGTGTGTGTGTGTGTGTGTGTGTGTGTAACACTAGGCAAGCACTTTACCACTACTGTACTTGTCACTCCTAGGATGGAATTTTAACCCCTCCTTGGGTTTCCTTGGTAATAGAGGAGGAAGGGAAAAGAGAAAGGCAAAGAAGCAGAACTCTCAATTCTAGAAATCCTGAGACTCTCTCTGTGCCAGTCAGCTGTCAGGGTATCTGTATTTCTTCTCCTGTCAGCCTGGTACACATGTGGCATAACTGCTGTCTTCCCTTTGAACAACCCCCTGTTCCGTGATCATGGGCAGTCATGTGACAGTTTATACCCCAGTTTCTTCATCTATAAAGCCGCAACAACAATGGCAACTTGCTCTTTATGCTGTTAAATTTAACATATAGAAACATACAGAAAGCACTCAGAGCATGGTCCACAAGTGCTGTCAGCCATTATGATTATTATGATTTTTAAATTTTTAATATTTTTTTTTTTTTTTGCTGTACTGAGGATTGAATTCAGAGCCTGAAATATGCTAGGAAAGTGCTTTACCTTAACCTGCAGTCCAGTCGGAGTTATTCCTTCTCCTAAGACCACACCTACTTCCTACCAAACCCATGGTGAGCCTTCCATGAGCACAGGAAAAGACATACTGCAGCCAATCCCCATCAAAAATGGTGTTGCCTTGATTGTCAAACTCAATTTGCCACAAATTTGTGTTTAAATGCCAAAAAGTTTGAGAACAGAACATATTTTTCCAATAAGAATGGAAAACCATGGGCTGGTGAGATGGCTCAGTGGTCTAAAGCACCTACTTAGAACAAGCTAAGCTAAGCAAAAGCACAGCGACCAGGGTTCAATCCCCAGCACCACATGCCAGCCAGCCCCCGCCCCGCCCCCTGGTGGGCTGAGCTGGCCACACACACACACACACACACACACACACACTAAAAAAAAAAAAAAAAAAAAAATGGAAAACCAAGCCAGGTGTGGTGGTGCATGTCTATAATCCCAGCACTGGGAGGCTGAGGCAGAAGGATCATGGTGATTTCAAGGTAAGCCTGGACTACATAGCGAGAACCTGTCTCAAAACAAAAAGGAAGAAAAAAACAACTGTTGCTGAGACCCAAAATTTACACTCGAAAACTAACTCTAAAGTCACTGTGTAGCCCAGGTGGCCTTGAACTCCCAGCAGTCCTCCTGCCTCAGCCTCCCAAGTGCTGGGATTACAATTGTGTGCCACCACACCTGACAATGATTTCTCTCTTTAACTCTCATGGTTCTCACAGTTTTCCTCTTAGCATTACTGCTGGTATCACCCTCTTTGGAGCCATGATTATGATCTCTACACAAATAAAACACAAAAAATAGCACAATGACAACTGTTTGAATGTAGTAATACAAATACTGTGTGTCCTGTGGCTAAGTGGGATGCTCAGACAAGTGTGTGTGGCCCCTTTGTGTCTGTGTGTGGTAACATGTGATGTGTGACTCACTCTTCATCTATACAGGTTTTTTTCAAGTCAGGTTTTTAGTTTGATTATTGGGCAAAGCTATGAACACCAAGCAGATTTGTTTTCAACCTTACCCTTGCTGTTCATGTAGTGGAAAGTTGGAGCTGAGGTTTCTCTGGACCTCTCTCTACTCTGAACACATTATCCCATTGTTCTTGGCAATGTGTCATTTACTAAAAGAATGTTTTTAGAAATGTAAACATTCACTGTACTTTCGATTTCCCTTTATACATATATGCAAATACAGTGGTACCTTGATTTGTGAATGCCTCTGTGAACAGTTCAGTTCTTGAACAGAAGTATTTCGCAAAATTTTGCTTCTGTTGACAAACTCTGCATCAGATGACATTGAGCCTTATGGGAAATCTGATTGTGTTTTCAACAAATTTGGTTCGTGATCAGAATCATGGAAAGAATTAAGCTAATAAGTGGAGGCACCTGGGCCAGCAAAATAGCTCAGAAGACTAAGTGCCTGCTTAGGCAAGTGCAGAGAGTAGGTTTCGATCCCCAGCACTACATACTGTACTAGCCCTGCCCTTAGGTGCACAGAGTTGGCCACCCAATCCGGGTGTGGTGGTGCATGCCTATAATCCCAGCGCTGGTTGAAAACAGGAGGATCACTAGGAGTCTGAGCTGCATAGTGAGACCCTGTACCAAATACATTAAAAAAAAATATGGAGGTACCACTGTATATGTGCACATGTGTGTATGTGTATATGTGTACAGTGGCAATTTGTGTGTGATGTACTGGGCCCTCATCCGAGCTTTTCCATCCTTGAAAATTAGAAAGTTTTCTCTTCCATCTGGAACATGTGACACAAGAGGACTGTGAATAACATAGCATCCCCCAAGGGCCCAGGGTATCTACTTGCTTGGGAAGGGGAGGAGTTGATCTTTTCTTACTACCTGGTGGCCCTTGTGCAGATCCTCTTTTTCCTCCACCATCACTGCTCAACTCCATGTGGCAGAACACAGAGGTGGTGGCTGGAGTTTTAAGAAGTGCCTCTTCCTGTTATCTTCATGTCCCCTAAGCCAGAGGGGCCTCTGGAGACAGATGTCTGTGTTTATATCCCAAGCTCTCCACCACTGGTGAGGACACCAGGTTGCTTCACCCCATCTGGAAGAGGTGCCAGGAGCAGAGGATACCTGCTCCTGAAGGCTGTGTGAATCACCTTCTGAGCTCAGAACAGTGATGGTTCAGTTCCTGTTTGCTGGATTGGGGTTGCAGTGGGAGAGTGCCTGCCTGGCATGAGAGAGGCCACAAAACCAAACCAAAAACAAAATGCTCGATATTTTTGATACTGATGTTTTGATAAAAGGCACAACACTGAGAATGTGGGTTTCAGACAGATGATAGCAATAGCAAGCCCTTAGGAGCCAGGCACAGACCTAACTCCCCCACATGTATTCCTTACTTAATCTTCATACCCAGCCTAGGAAGTGGACTCTGCCATTACTACCCCTGCTTCAGGCGAGGGAACTGAAGCAGAAAAGTAAAAAACATAGCAAACAGGTCTTACAAGCAGCAGTCCATGCTTGAACTCAGCTCGCTGGACATGATGTGCCTCTGGGCAGCATCGGCCTTTGTTTTCCTGGCTCCCGTCCTCTGTGTCTGGGACTGGCTGAAACTGAAGCTGTGTGAACCAGCTCATGGGTGGACCTCTCTCCCAAAGAACCTGCTGTCTGCAGGCAGCTCATTCTGTGCTCATCAAATTATAAACACAACAAAAAAAATTGCTTTTCCTGGGATTGTCAAAAAGTATTCACTTGTCAGATTTCTGTCCTGACAATAATTAGCTTTCTCTGTCATGGAGGAAGGCAGGGACTATAACAGAACCTGTGGAAGATTCAGGGGGAGGGCTGGAGAGATGGCTCAGTGGTCTAAAGCACCTACTTGGAACAAGCTTGGCAAAGCACAGGGAGTGCCACATGCCAGCCAGCCCCACCCCCTGGTGGGCTGAGCTGGCCACACACACACACACACACACACACACACACTAAATAATTAAAAAAAAAAGATTCAGGGGGAAACAAAGTGGCTGCAAGAGAGAAGGGCACAGGGAGACCCTTCCAACTAAGGAAGTCTGTGAATGTGGGCAGGGCCAGCAGGGATGATGAATATTTATTTTCCTCATTTCTTTTTTTTTTTTTAGTCAGGGTCTTACTATACAGTTCAGGCTGGCCAGAATTCACTATGAAGCCCAGGCTGGCATCAGACTTGCCAGCATGGCTGGTCCTTTTCATTATTACTTAAATTTATTTTTAATTAATTAATTTACTTTTTTGAGACAGGATCTTACTATGTATTCCAGGCTGATACCAAACTCAGTCCTGATTCAGCCTCTAGAGTGCTGGAGTTACAGGTGTGTGCCACCACCCCAAGGTCTGTCTTCATTTATTGATTACTGATTGATTGCAGTACTGGGGATTGAGCCCAGGGCCTTCTCACTGAGCCACATCTCCAGCTCTTATTTATTTATTTATTTATTTATTTATTTATTTATTTATATATTTTTAGCCCTGGCTGGGCTCAAATTTTCAGTTGTCCTGCCTCAGCCTCCCAGAATGCTGGGATTACAGGTGTGTACTCCCAGGCCCAGCTTCCACCTTGCTGCTTTTTTTTTGGGGGGGGCACTGGGTATTAAACTCAGGACCTTGTGTTTGCCAGGCAGGCAAGCTCTGTCCCTGACCCCCTCCTTGCATCTTGATGAATGAACCTAGATTCAGACTGGCCTCCAGGAAGAGATTTATAGAGATTTAAACAGCTGGTCTCTTTTCCACAAAATAGCTTCCCTATTAAATGGAAGGACCAGGAAAATTCAACAAGCACTAAAAATACTGTTTAGCTGCCAAAGCAGCACAACTAGAAAGCCGTAGGCCTGTGTGGCATCCAGACAGCTCTTTGTGTCCCTTCTAGACAGCCCCCTCCTCAGGGCTCAGGGCCTGTCTGGCTGTGAGCCCCTGGGAAGCTGAGGGTGTGACCTCTCCCCCCTTCCGCGCCCAGCCTGGGGCCGGCTATAAAGCTGGTTCAGCACCGCATCTTCTCAGACCCAGCCCAGCTGGAGACCCTCTGGATCTGACCACGATATCTAAGAGCGAGCTATAGCCTATCATCCTCCTGGACAGCACCATGCGGCTTGTAGGACTCTGCTGGGCACTCTGGGTGCTGGCCCTGGCGGGCTCTGCGGCGGCCCTCACAGAGGATCAGGTCCTGGGCAGACTGCTGCAGCAGCTGGGACTGCACCGGGCACCTGTCCTGCACAGGGCCGACGTGGAGGGGCTGGCCATCCCAGCGCACGTGAGGGCCGAGTACGTGGCTCTATTGCAGAGCAGCCGAGGGGACCGCTCCCGCGGGAAGAGGTTCAGCCAGAACTTTCGCGGTGAGCTCTCCACCCTGGGTTTGCCAGATGTAGTAGTGTCCTTGCTTTGTGCATTGAGGGACTACTTCCGGCAGGGATACCCTGGGCAGAACTGGTCCCAGAGGAGAGAGAGGTGGAGGCAGTGCCTGCGGGCAGCTGGAGCTTGCTGGGTCTGTTTGCATCCTGACCCACAGCGATTCCATTTAAAATCCTCTTGGCGGGCCGTGTGCCCAGGCCTGTGAGCTCTGAGCACGGTTGGCGGCCAGGGGCGCGGTGCCTGACCTTCTGCCCTCCAGGGGTGTCGGAAGCCTCACTTTGATGGAGGGTAGAACTGGAGGAGGCGCGGCCTCAGGCCAGGTTTAGGTCGCCGGGTCGGGTTGACGGCTGCTCTAGGGGTTCCCTATCCCGAGGGGCTCGGCTAACTCCACTTGTGTCCCCAGAAGTGGCCGGCAGGTTCCTGGCGTCTGAAGCCTCCACGCACCTGCTAGTCTTTGGCCTGGAGCAGCGGCTGCCGCCCCGCAGCGAACTGGTGCAGGCCGTGCTGCGGCTCTTCCAGGAGCCGGTGCCCAAGGCCGCGCTACGCCGGCTGGAGCGGCTGTCTCCGCGCGGCGCCCGGGCCCGCGTCACCGTAGAGTGGCTGCGCGTCCGCGAGGACGGCTCCAACCGCACGTCCCTCATCGACTCCAGGTGTGGCGGGCGCGGGCAACTCTGGCGGGCGCGGGCGGGCGGCTCTGTCCCACACGGGGCTAATCGCTCTGTGCTGCAGGCTGGTGTCGGTCCACGAGAGCGGCTGGCAGGCGTTCGACGTGACTGAAGCCGTGAACTTCTGGCAGCAGCTGCGTCAGCCCCGCCAGCCCCTGCTGCTGCAGGTGTCCGTGCAGAGGGAGCTCCCGGGTGCGGGTGCGGGAGCCCACAGGCTGGTGCGCTTCACCGCGCAGGGTTCGCGGGCGGCGGGGGCGGAGCCCCAGCTGGAGCTGCACACGCTGGACCTTCAGGACTATGGGTGGGTGCAGCAGACGCCCCTGCTACTCTTGGCCCCCTAAGGGTCATATTAATGAAAATATCGTAGCGTATTTTTTTTTTATGTCGTCGATTGTGTCGTTTTTGTAATTCTCTGCTTTCACTTTACCATACATAATTGAGTCAAAAACCACAAGCTTTCCCTGTAACTAAACCTGAAATTCATCCCCGCCCAACAAGTTACTGGGGGGACAAAAGGGATGCACTCGTGAGATATCCTCGTGTGGATTCATCCGGCCAACCAAAGTTCAAAAATTATTTTTTTAAAAAGCTCATTTTACTGAATATGTAGTGATGTTTTTTTTTTTTTTCATAATTATTGCTGAAACAATACTATGTGACAACTACTTTCTTTTTTTTTCGTAACCGGGGATTGAACTCAGGCCCTTATGCTTGCCTGGGAAGCGCTTATTCCACTGAGCCATCTCGTCGACCCCAACAACTACTTTCATAACATTTACATTGTCCTAACTGACCAAGAGATGATGGGGGGAGGCATGGCAGTGCAAGTCTGTAAGCATAACTGCTAAGGATCACAAGTTCAAGCCCAGCCTGGGCAGTTCAGTGACACAGAGACAATGTTTCAAAATAAAAGAGGGTTGACCCTAGTGCACCTGGTGGGAAAACTGGCAGGAATGCTGCAGCAGGCTGTATCACTGAAAGACTTGAAAGGTTCACCGTCACTGGCTCAGTGTGAAGAATTTGGGTTCAATCCCCAGTATTGAAAAAAATAGTCTATGTGATGATGTCTACATGTTACATGTGAACACTGCACTATTTTACACAAAGAACTTAAGTATCCACAAATTTTGGCATGGAGAATCCTAGAATCTGTCTCCTGCTACTCCAGATGGCTGTGTGGTAGCCAAGACCAAGCTTTAGGAACCAGACAGAATGTGCTCTAGGAAGCTTTGTCTTTCCTGAGCACCTGCGGGTCTTAGCATGTGTGTAGGAAAGCTGATGTTGGTGCCTCTTCAAGGTTCATCTGTGCTACACCCAGTTCAGTATGCTGGCTTTATATTCTAGATAGTTAATCATTTATCTCTACCACAAGTATCCTGCTCTTTAACACACTGAGAGATGGGGCAGTCTCCTTCCCAGATGCCCCCCTAAGCTGGACTCTGGGCCTCCCTGACCTCAGCTGACCTGGCCACCTCTTCTCATCCTACAGAGCTCAAGGCAATTGTGACCCCGAGGTGGTGGAGCCTGAGAGCACTGGATGCTGCTGTCAGGGGACATACCTGGACCTACAGGGAATGAAGTGGGCTGAGAACTGGGTCCTGGAACCTCCCGGTTTTCTAACCTATGAGTGTGTGGGCAGCTGCCGGCAGCCTCCAGAGACCCTGACCTTCAAGTGGCCCTTTCTAGGGCCACGGCAGTGCATTGCCTCAGAGACAGCTGCACTGCCCATGATCATCAATGTCAAGGAGGGAGGGGGACCCGTTCCCAGGTGGTCAGCCTACCTAACATGAGGGTGCAGAAGTGTAGCAGTGCCTCAGATGGGGCACCTGTACCAAGGGTGCTTGAGCCATAGGTGCCCTGTGCAGCTGCTGAGCCTCTGACCAGACAAAGGCACAAAGCAGCTCTTAATGTAGGTCTTGGTTTGTTTTTGTTTTGATTTTGAGACTGGCTTGCTGTATGTCTGAGGCTGGCCTTACACTTGCAGTTTGCCTGGCTCAGCCCTCTGAGTGCTGGGATTACAGATGTGTGCCACCACGTCCAGCTTTCAAGTAGGTCTGAATTTTTACACTTAGCAAGTTACCCTTGTCCCAAGTTAGTGCCCTTGTATTACTTTGGCCTTGTGTTCTTCTGTTTCCTGTCATTATTGTCCCCCACCCACCCTAAGCACTTACATATCTTATTGTGCAGCTCTGATGTGCAGCTGCAGGAGGAAATCTTGGCTACTTGGCCGAGGATCTGAGGGAGCAATGGACGATTTCTCAGCTGAGAAAATTGTTCTCTGGCAAATTCTCAACTGGAACAGAACTGTGCTGATACAGGAAGTAGACCAGATGATGAATTAAAACAAGAAAACCTTTTTTCTCCTAGATAGGAGTGATATCTGAAAAGGAACCCTCTCACCACCCACTTCTGTAAATATCTTTAGGTTCCCAGTCCCCAGGAGGGTGCAGGCTGGGGGCAGCAGACAGAAGACTCCTGGTTTTCTGGATTGGACAGGGCGGCATGGGAACTCAGGCGAACGCAGAGGCTTCCACTGAGAAGCCACTGACCTGGAGATCAGACAGTCTCTAGCATCGCCCACTTCAGAGCCAGAATTACCTGGGCATACTGAAGTTATCCCCTACTATCCTAAAGAACTTGTCACCAGAAATCATGGGCACTTAGGTGCTCTTTTTTTATATAAACAAGTGAATGTAATTAGAAGAAGCAAAATAAAAGTAATGTCTTACTCAGTGTTTCTGTACTTAATTTCTGTTTCTCATTACATAGGAGAGGAAGGAGCAATAATGGGAATGAGAGGAGGTAAACCAGGACCCCTGACTACTAGGGGCAATGATTATAATAACTAAACTTATATAGGGCTTTAAGATATATTTTAACAATTCTGATTACAAAAACAACTATGAACAATCACCCATATAGCATCCTTAGTACTTTTGAGCCCTGCAACAGTGGATCTGAGGACAGGGACAGTGGTAGGGCAATCAAGCTCACATCTGCTGAGTAGTCGCTAGGAACCTGGGGATCCCACAGGCAGGCAAGTGCACCTCATACATGTTGCATGTTGTTGCATCACTTAATTCTTGCAACTATTATCAGAGGTAAGTATTCCTGTTTTCAGATGAGGAAACTGAGGAGGCATCCCATATGATCAGTTATAAACTTCCAACCCCAGTCCCCAGGAGTGAGCTCAGCAGATGACAGGTACTTGGTTAAACTGTCATTTGGAGGGGCCGGGGAGATGGCTCAGTAGAATAAGTGCTTCCCTGGCAAGCGCAAGGGCCTGAGTTTAATCCCCGGTTCCACAAAACAAAACAAAACAAAACAAAACAAAAAAAAAACTGTCATTTGGAGGCTCATGGTATAACTGAAGCTGTCACACATGGCAATTCCCCTGTATTTACCTTTCCTACCCAGCTGGCTCTGGAGAAAGTTGTACTTCAAGTTCATGGAGTCTGTTTCTTAACCATAGGGTAATTAACACCAACTGAACAATGCAATGAAAAAATTGAGCAAAAAGTTGTCTAAGGACAGCCAGGATTTGAGGACACAGCAAGATTTTTTTTTTTTTTTGGTGGGGGGGTATTTGGTGTATAGTTGCTTAGTGTATAAGAAAGGTGTGGGCATCACACCCTAAAGGAATTTTCTCAGCTATTTAGTGATGCATCTGTGGCTCTGGAAGACAGTGGGGCAGGGATGGGTCTACGCATACCATGGTGAGTGTAGTTTAGAAATCTAGAAGATGTTTTACTTCAAAATGTAAAATTGTGCTTAGTAGCGTGGGAAGAAAGACTGTAGTAGACAGAATACTCTTCCCCAAAACATCCATGGCCCAAACCTTGGAACCTGTGAATATGGCATAAAGACTTTGCACATGTAATAAAGACAGCAGATATTAATAGGGGAGCTCTGTGGATTGTCTGGGTGCCCACTCTAGTTACATGAGCCTTTAAAGCTCTCTGGCTGAGGTAGGAGAGATCAGGTAGAAAGGGGAGGTCAAGGCACTGTGGCATACCCTGTAACTCCAGCAGTTTGAGTGGGGTATGGTATGGGAGCCTAGACAATCTAGAGAGATCTTGTATCAAAATAAAGTAGGAATGATAGTAATGAAAGACCAGTGATGTAGCTTGTCTTTAGGTTTGTTTTTTTGTTTGTTTTGTTTTGTTTTCAGAACTGGGGATTGAACTCAGGCCCTTACGTTTGCCAGGCAAGCACTTATTCTACTGAGCCATCTCCCCAGCACCATTGTCTTTAGGTTTGATCACAAGTACCAAATGACGAAGCCCCCCCAATGAAAACATAGCAAAATCTTACTGTGAGCATCTTAGCAACTTTTATTGTATATTTACTTAATCGTAGTAAAAGTAGTTTGTATGGCTTTTTTTAGGGGGTACTTAGTTGTATGTAGGGGTTTGTATGAGATAGTTAAAAGTCCAAAAGTAGATTTTTTTTCTTTTGCCTCTGCAGTTATTTTGATTTGTTTGCTCTATGTGTGTGACAATGTTATCTTACAACAAACTAGAGTTTCATTTTGCTGATTTTTTTAACAAAATAAATTAGAGGGCTGGCGAGATGGCTCAGTGGTCTAAAGCACCTACTTGGAACAAGCTTGGCAAAGCACAGGGACCACGGTTCGATCTCCCAGCACCACATGCCGGCCAGCCCCGCCCCCTGGTGGGCTGAGCTGGCCACACACACACACACACACACAATAAATAAATAAACTTTAAAAAAATAAATAAATAAATAAATAAATTAAAAAAAATAAATTAGAATAAGATGTGTCTTACTAGCTGGGTGTGGTGGCACATACCTGTGATCCCAACACTTGGGAGGCTGAGGAGGAGGATGGCTTCAAGTTCAAGGCCAGCCTGGGTTACATAGTGAGTTCAAGGGCAGCCTAAACTATGACTCTATCTAAAAAACAAACAAATAGAACCTAAACCAAAAACCCAACAAACAAAGAAAACCTTGTGTCTTACTGTGTAGGAAAAAGTGTGGAGAGTTATTCTCCAAAAACCTAATCTTAATTCTCTTGAGGTGGTGAATTTGAGACAATGTCAGTGGCCTGGATGTGGCCTGAGGAGTACAACAGCACAAAAGAAATAGGCCCTAAAGTCAGCAAGGCCCTGTAGAGAGAATGAAATGGGATTATCTACCATTATAGTGGATAATAAAAGTATTTATGGGCTGGGAGTATAGCTTGGAGACAGAGGGTCTGCCTAACATATACAAGGAGGGCCTGGATGTCCCCAGCACCACACACACACACACACACAGAGAGAGAGAGAGAGAGAGAGAGAGAGAGAGAGAGAGAGAGAGAGATGAGGTGCTTGTGAACCTTAAATGTAGGAGATGAAAAAAAAATCAAGATACCATCAAAGATAATCATTTTTTTTTTTCTGTACAAAGAATGGAACCCAAGAGCACTTCTGGTCTACAGTGTCTACTACTGAGCCACACCCCTGCCCTCATAATGTTATGGGTCAGCTCAGAATAGGAACCAAATCAGCCAGATTGGAATTTAACAGCCTTTATTACTGAGCTCAGAGCTGTCAGTTCTCACACAGGAGAAGACAGAGTGACCTCTAGCCCGGGAAGCAAGGGGCTTTTAAAATGAAGGTCACATGACTAAGAGGTCTTTCACAGTTCAGTGATATGCACAGCTTGCCCATATGAGGGCTTGTTGAGCAAGCCATTTTTACAAGATACATCTTAAGCTGACTATGTTTAGAGGACTTAGATTAGGGAGGGGAGAGTTACTCATTACTAACCAGCCTTGAACAGAGGGTGAGGACACATTCCTTAACAGGAAGCATAATGGAACCTAACAGTTTTTCATCGTAATAGCACAAAATTCAGTTGACCCATTACAATAGCAGTCTCTGGTCAGCGGCTGAGTTCAGGCTTTGCAGAGCGTGTGCCATCACCAACCTCTGCCCTACACTGCTTAGTCTCACACTGCTGCAGAGGAAACCAGCATATTGATACTAACACACCTTCCCTTCCTCAGGTTCTTGGAGTCCTCCTGTCTCACCCATGCTCTTGAAAGCCAAGGCAGGAGGCACCTAGGTGTCTAGCACAGGTTGGGTATCAAGGGTTACATGTAGTTTACCTTGAGTACAGCCCATTGTGCCACTGGCCAGGCAGAGTCTCCCCACACTGGAGCAGGGAAGGCCACAGGCCATGGGGCCTCTGGTAGACTAAGAGTTCTGATACCTCTTCCGACCTGGTAGCTTGACACAGGAGGCTGTGAAGGGGTGCTGGGCTCATTGTCCCCACACAAAAATGCCTCTACAAAAAGGTGGCCAAGTGAAGGAGGCAAGCAGGGGACAAACAGAGTACAGGTTCAACAGTGCTCAACTCTAGCTTCATTTCAGAGGTCTGACCTCCTGCAGTGCTCCTTCCAGTGACCCCCCCCCCCAAGTACTGTAGTCCTTTCCCAAGGGCTCTATCAGATTTCAGGCTTCCAAGACTAAGTAGAATGGTTAGGTTTCTGGCTTCAGATCCTATAGACAGCTTCAGTGTTGCCACAAGGGCAATTAAAGCTCTAGCCAAATAACTAACCTACAGAATCAGCTTGGGTATCCATCTGAGCATGAAAAGATAGACCATGCTGGGAGTGGTGGCACAAGCCTTTGATCCTAGCGCTCAGGAAGTTGAGGCAGGAGGATCACTAGGAGCTTGAGAGCAGCCTGGGCCATATAGCAGAGACCCTGCCTTAAAAAAAAAAAATCAGTAGGAAATGTAGTACATATACGCAATGGGATATTACTTAGACACAAAAATG